TTGTGAAATAGCTGTGGAGGTGGGGTTCTAGGTGCAAGCTGGAAGAATGACGGGGTCATACCTGTTAGGCTGTTACCACCACACCTGCTTATTATATAAACACTAGTGGCCCGCTGGTGCATGAAATTTGTGCACAATAAAAGGGAATTAATTAGAGGAAATATTTTAATACTGCTATTTGCCCTTTCTCTATAATAGAAGTGTCAAAGATGGAACAATATTAGTAAAATGTATATGAAAACCTTCCTCCTGTCAGTCTGGGGCACGCCACGGGACCCAGAGTCAAGCCCCTGCCCACCCGAATGCACCTCAAAATCACACGAGACCCAGACCCAGCAGCCCCACTGGATGGGGGGCACAGCCTGAGGTCCCCCCCCCCCCTTGCCCTGGCCCCACTCATTACAGCTCATTAAGGAAACCCGCCTCCCCTATGGCCGCAGACATTTTGTGTTATGGGAACCCTGCGTCAGCTGTGGGCGCAGCCATCTTGTGATAGTGTGACAGTGAGGGTCAGTTTGCATGTTACTTCTTTATTATATAGGATTTGTTTATCTTCCCTGGTCAGTGTGTTCAGTGGTTAAAGCATCAATGCGCACACCTAAGGATGGTAGGTTTGATTCCTGGTTGGGGGTGGGTTTGCCTGGGTTGCAGGTTCTATCCGCATCCCTGGGCTTGTGCGAGAGGTAACCAACTGATAGGTCTTCCTCAAATACGTGTCTTCCCTACCCCCTGCCTTCCATTCTTTCTAAATTTAGATGGAAAAGGTATCCTCAGGTAAGGATTAAGAACAACAAAAACATTCCTTGATTCACACATGCTACCTTGGGCATGTTTCTTTTCCAGCAGCAAATGCCATGAACATAATATTCTAATTAGTGAGAGGTCAGAAAGATGATCATCACATTGTAAGCATAATGATTTGTGGTGTAAACTTCTGTAACTGCATGCCATAGGTGGTCTGGTATCAAGAAAAAAAGAAAGAAGCCTGATTCTATTGTGTTAAAATATCCCTAACTACACAGAGGTCAGGCTTAAAATCCAGATTCTTGGCTCTAGCTGGTCTGGCTCGGTTGGAGCATCGTCCCATACACCAAAAGGTGGCGGGTTCAGTTCCTGATCAGGGCACATACCCAGGTTTCATGTTTGATCCCCAGTTGGGGTGCATGCAGTAATAACCCAGTGTTTCTCTCTCTCCCTCCCACCCTCCTTTAAAAAAAAAAAAAAAAGATCCTGATTCTTCACTCTTCCTTTGGTTTCTTTTTCAGAGAGGCTGGGCTGGTAACAATTAGGCGTCACTTTTGCCCAGGTTTGAATCATAAATGAGGTTATAGGAACAGCTTTGTGCAGCCTTTCACAGCTTTTGTTTAAAGTTAGATTAGTAGGGATCTACAATTTTTTTTTTTTAAGGTTTTTGCTCATCCAGAAGACCCCTGTGTCCTTTAATGAGATAAATTACCTGGAATTCTTTTTTTTTATTTTTTATATATATATATTTTATTGATTTTTCACAGAGAAGAAGAGAGAGGGATAGAGAGTTAGAAACATCGATGAGAGAGAATCATCGATCAGCTGCCTCTTGCACACCCCCCACTGGGGATGTGCCCGCAACCAAGGTACATGCCCTTGCCCGGAATCGAATCCAGGACCTTTCAGTCCGCAGGCCCATGCTCTTATCCACTGAGCCAAATCGGTCCCGGCAATTACCTGGAATTTAAGACCAGAGCAACTGGCTTCTGAGCGGCTAGGTTGGGTGACAGATTTGGGCTCACACTAAAACAAGCAAGGCCAGTTTTGTTTTGTTTTTCCCCCTGTGAAGGAGTGTTGACTCCAGTTTTTACTTTTTTTATTATTTTTAAAAATATATTTTTTATTGATTTTAGAGAGGAAGGAAGAGGAAGAGAGATAGAAACAGCAACGATGAGAGAGAATCACTGATCAGCTACCTCCTGCACACCCCACCCTGGGGATCGAGCCCTCAAAAAACGCGTGGGGCCTTGACTGGAATTGAACCTGGGACTGACCCTTAAATCTGCAAGCTGACACTATCCACTGAACCAAACCATTCAGGGCTTCCCTTAAAATAACCAGAGTCCAGAATTTATGTATTTATGTACAGTTCTTTTTTTCTTTTGAAATATATATATATATATATATATATATGTATATGTATATGTATATGAATGATGCCCACTGCAGCCAGCCAACTGGTCGGATTGGGGGGTGGGCTGGCAAGCCAACCTTCCTCATCCCCCTTCCCTCAGCCGGTCCTGCCCCTTTTGGGCCTCCCACCCCATCAAAGATGAGGTGGCTGGCCAACCCTGCCCCTGATAGCCTCCCCATCCCAATAGGGCGTGGGGCTGGCTGGCCAACTATCTTCAGCCCCTTGCTCCAGCCGGCCCCGCCCCTGAAGGGCCCCCCTCCCCCCAGCCAGCTCTATCTCTATCTGGGAGCAGGACCAGCAGCCCACTGCCTACAGCCCCTCCCCATGGCCAGCCCCAGCTCCCATCAGTCCCCTCCACCCCAATAGGCCCACACCACCTTCCCCCAGCCAGCTCCACCCCTGATCAGCCTCCCGGACATTGATCAGCTGCCTCCTGCACACCTACTGGGTGTGCCTAAAACCAAGGAACATGCCCTTGACCTGGGACCTTTCAGTCTGCAGGCCGATGCTCTTATCTACTGAGCCAACCTGGTTAGAGCTGAACAAATATGCTTTTACACACCAGCGTCCTTTGTCAGATTGATGAAGTTACAGCATGGCTAGTAATGGCTAGGAGTGGTGGTTTTTTAAGGGGTCCTCACCATTAGGTAAGCTGTGATTTCTCATGGTCTGCTTCTTGGTAGTTTAGAGTTGGTTTTCTGAGCTTTGGTTTTTCTTTTTAGATTACCTTCCATGGCTGCACTTTTGTAAGACTGCTTATACATTTAAAAAACAAAACAAAAAAACATGGAAAATTTTAAACATATGTACAAATGAATTCCAATATACCCATCCCCTAGCATCAATAGTTGTCAACATTTTGCAATCTTTTATCCTTCTCTGACTACTGGAGTATTTAGGAGCAAATATCAGGCATGTACTTTCACCCATAAAATTTTCTTAAATGTGTACCTGATAGATAAAGGTATTCTTTTCAAACACAACCACATTATTTGTCCCTAACTGAATAATGATAATTCATTATTACTACAGGATGCAATTTTGCTTGCATATCACTCAGCACTAGGCTTCCACAGCAGCCTGGTGGTGTAGATCCAGCTCCATGCTTTCCTTAGGTTGACATACTCACTTCACAGTTCTCCTGCAGAGGGGGAGGGGCTGCTTCCTGTTGGCAGGAATAGAAGAAAGCTCCAAAGAAATTTCAAGACCACACTGGTAGTAGCTGGGCAAGCAGGGTTTCAGGCCCAAGTCTGAGCAGAAGCTCCCACTTGGTAATGACTGAGTGGCTCATCAAGGACCCATCAGAACCAGAAGCTGAGTCCAGGGAATGGTCACTCACTCCTCCCTTTCCTACTTGTGCCTCATCATGAAGCCTGTGAACCCCACCTGTTACCTTGCCTGGCATTTGCTGCAGGGGCATTTGGCCTCCCGTCTCATCCTTAGATTTTCAAGTTATTTGGAACCTTATATGTATTTTTTTCTTTAGCCCTAGCTGGTTTGGTTCAGTGGGTAGAGTGTCTGTCGGCCCTGGGACTGAAGGGTCCTGGATTCAGTTCCAGACAAGGGCATGTACGCTTGGTTGCAGGCTGGATCCTTGGCCCTGGTTGGGCCATGTGCAGGAAGCAACCAATCAGTGTGTGTCTCACATCAATGTTTCTCTCTCTCTCTCTCTCTCTCCCCCTCTCCCTTCTGCTGTCTCTAATAATCAATGAAAAAAATATCTTCAGGTGAGGATTAACAAAGCAAACTAAAAAAAAACCTACAAATAAATAAATTGAATTTTAAATGATTTGAGAATTTTTTTTTCTTTAAATAGTATAAAGTTTGGTTTGTATCTTCCATTTTTTTAAAAATTGATTTTAGAAAGGGAGGGGGAGAAACATCAGTAGGTTGCCTTCCATACCCTGCAACCTAGGTGTGTGTCTTGACCAGGAATTGAACTTGAAACCCAAATCTTTTGGTGTAGTGGACAATGCTCCAACCAACTAAGCCACAATAGCCAAGGCGTGGAATCTTTACATTTTCAACTCTGTTACTAGGTACTCCTAAAACATTGTGGAAATTCTTGTTTTGGCCAATCATGTCTACATTTATCCTAAAAGTGAGTGCCTTTCCAGGATGAGGCTGAGCCTGCTGCCCTGGCTAGTGGCTGGCTTAGATTGATAGAGCTAGCTGCTAGGGTGATTGTATGCGATGGGTATACTTATCTGTTCCCTGTGTGCTGAAGGGTTTTTTTGTTGTTTACTCATTTGGGAGATTTCTGTGTGGACCAGAATGTTTACACAGAGTGGGGTTGAGTGGTTTGTAGTCAAAATTATACTTACGGCTGTGTTTGTCAAACTCTCTTTGGCTGAGTTTCAGCTGTCTCAGCCTCTCCAAGGATGACCCCATAGGTATGTCTCTGTGGTGCGGTGGTCACGTCTGTCTGATGTTTCGGAAGGTTCTTGCCTTTCCAGTTCATAGGATCCTTTTAGGGCCCTCCTTGTCTCTTGCTTCTTTCATCTCCATTACCCTTAGGACCAGAATTTCACTTTTCCTTTATATTTGTAAAGATTGGCATACTTTATATAAGAAATGGTGAAAGAAGATAGAAATAAAAATCATCAGAGTGTGGGCCTGAAGTAGGATTTTGCTTCTATTGTAGAAACCAGCTCTTTTAATTTTTAGGGAACTTTGTAATTAATTAGTTATGCGTACCTTAGCTTAGTGGTGGTTACTTGGAAATGAAGATGTGTCCTGCTGTGTTAATGGGGCTTCTTAATGAGTCAGCGATGCTGTCCTGCTCTAAAATTCATTCATCTATGAAATCTGAAACTAAAAAAAATTTCTGATTTTATAGATAGCTGAAGTATTGATAACACCAAGGAAATCTGTCACAATTTGAAAATATAAGCAAAATTTGATTTCCAGACACTACAGAAAAGAAGCAAAAATGGTAAGAAAGTTTTTTTTAATCATAGGTAGTATTTTTTCATACATGTATAGATGTTTGTAGTATTGCCTCAATATATTTGATTCTATTTTTCAGTTAACTTGAATTCTACTACATAGTGTAACAATTCTAAAAATATAGAAATGTAAGTGACCTCTTTCCCCACCATCTAGAAAAAGAACAACTGTTTAGTTGTTCTTTTCCGAGTGTTCATATACAGGAATGGGCAAAAATGGGTTTATAGTTTTATGTGAAACACACAAAACTTGGATTATTATTTAATAATTATTCTATTACAACTATAAACCTACTTTTGTCCACCCCTGTACAGTAATTCCCCCCTATCCGCGGCTTTGCTTTCTGTGGTTTGAATTTACCCATTGTCAACTGCAGTCCGAATATATTATATGGAAAATTCCAGAAATAATTCAAATTCACCTAACTCCATCTCATCACGTAGGCATTGTGTCATTATCACCTCACAAGAAAACGAGGAAGGGTGAGTATAGTACAATGGAATATTTTCAGGAAGAGAGAAATACCACATTTACATAACCTTTATTGTAATATATTATTTTATTCGATGTTAATCTCTTACTGTGCCAAATTTATAAATTACACTTTATCATAAGTATGTATGCATAGGGAAAAAACAGCATATAGAGGGTTTAGTAGTATTCGTAGTTTCAGACATCACTGGGGGTCTTGGAATGTATCCTCTGTAGATAAGGGGGGACTACTGTGTTCTTAATTTCACACAAATGGTAAAGCATCGTTTTGAGTTGTGCAGCCTGAAAGATAACCAGTGGGTTGCTTGGTCTCTTCAAATTGTTTTTAACTGAATTTTCACATTTCCAGCGTCCATTGCGAATTTTTGTGAATGATGACCGCCATGTGATGGCAAAGCATTCTTCTGTTTATCCAACCCAAGAGGAGCTGGAGGCAGTCCAGAACATGGTGTCCCACACAGAGCGGGCTCTCAAAGCTGTATCTGATTGGATTGATGAGCAGGAGAAAGGCAGCAGTGAACAAGCCGAGTCCGAGAACGTGGACGTGCCCCCGGAGGATGAGAACAAAGAAGGGGCCGGGTAAGTTGAGGTTTTCTGTTTGTTTGTTTTTTGTTTTTCTTCTTTCTAGGGAGACTGACTAGTCTAGAGCTGAGCATTTTCTCTGAAGAAACTCCAGCCTTCCTGGTTCTGGCCAGACTGAATCCCTCACATAGCATGTGTTTGATCTGTCCTTCAGGGAGCAGAAGACGGAGCATATAACCAGAACCCTGCGGGGTGTAATGCGCGTTGGCCTTGTGGCAAAGGGCCTCCTGCTCAAGGGGGACTTGGACTTGGAGCTGGTGCTGCTATGTAAGGAGAAACCCACAACTGCCCTCCTGGATAAAGTGGCTGACAACCTGGCCATCCAGCTCGCTGTGAGTTTGACTACCTCCGCTGGGTGGGGCAGAGGAAGAGATGCCAAACTGACATGTGCCAAAAGACATACTCTAAACCCACCCTTATACCCGCATTGCTCACACCTTCTCAGTCAGTAATGGACAGGGTGCTGCAGAGCCACTTAGGATTTGAGGACAATGGCTGGTGACTGCAGTGGTGCCCAGACGCTGTGGCTTTGAGGAAGGAACCAGTACCTACCACATACTAGGCTGCGCTGTTTTAGGGCTTCAGTAGGCTTGAATGTCACATCCTGACTCCATTGGGTGGGTGGGTGGGTGGGTGGGTGGGCGATGGATGAATAGATATTATAATTTTTCCCTCTGATTTAAACCTGGACACCATCAAAACCCTTTTAAAAACCAAATCCTATTTTTTCTTAATCTTTACCCCAAGGCATGTTTTTGATTTTTAGAGAGGAGAAGGGATAGAGACATCAATTGGTTGCCTTCCAAATACGTCTCTACAGGGGATGGAACCCACAACTTACGAATGATTAGGAAACTAACCCACAATCAAGGTAACACTCCAACCAAGCAAGCCACTCCACCAGGGTCAGAAATACATTTTAAATGTATCATTTCATCTTCACAATGCTCCTTGTAGATAGGGCTTTATCAATAAGGTGTATGGGAAGAATAACGGACACCAGCACCCATAGCTGCTGATTTCTGGGGCTTCAGAACTTCCGCACATCACTGCAACCAGCTGCCTCCTGGATTTAATAACAGGACTAGCAAAAACAAAAGTAAAACTCATTCCTTCGAAATACCATTCAGGTTTTTTAAGTCCTTACTCGAGGATATGCTTATTGATTTTAAGGGTGGGGTGCGCATTGATGTGAGAGGGAACATCACTTGGTTGCATTCTGTCCCATGTGACTGAATTTGGAATTCAGGGCAAAGGGCAGAATTGAAATGTGGAGCGAATGCAGTACAGTAGGTAATTCTGGGGTGCTATTTAAGATGAAACCCTAGCTTTTCTGTTTTAGTAGTAATTTTAAGTTAATTTTATCCTTGTCTGTTAAAAGCATTAATTGAAGAAAATTAAGCTGATGAAAATGTTTCTAAAGGAAGGACTTTAAAAAAATATATATATATATATATTTTTTTTTTAATATTTTATTGATATTTTACAGAGAGGAAGGGAGAGAGATAGAGAGCTAGAAATGTCAATGAGAGAGAAACATCGATCAGATGCCTCTTGCACACCCCCCACTGGGGACGTGCCCGCAACCAATGTATATGCCCTTGACTGGAATCAAACCTGGGACCTTTTAGTCCGCAGACCGACGCTCTACCACTGAGCCAAACCGGTTTCGGCTTTTTTTTTAATTATTATTTCTTACTGATTTTTTTTTTTTTAGATGGGGGAGAGAGAGAGACAGAGACAAAGACAGATATTAATGTGAAAGGGAAACATTTATGTGAACCAGCATTACCTTCAGTGCATGGGACGATGCTCAACCAGCTGAGCAGAAGAACAATTTTTATTTTATTTTATATAAGGAGTGGGTCTTTAGAGAAAGATGCAAATAAACTACATTTTAATCTATTTAGATTGGTGGGTTGTGGCTTTTTTGTTTAAAACAATACAGATTTACTATCAGTTCTGGAAGTCAGAAGACCTGTATAGGTATCTGTGTGCCAAAATCAGACTGTAGAGGAGAAACTGTATCCTGCTTATTCAGGTTGACATAATTCGGTTCCTTGTGGTGGTAGGACTAAGTTTCCTGCCTTTTTTTTTTTTTTTTTTTTTTTTTAATATATTTTATTGATTTTGTACAGAGAGGAAGGGAGAGAGAGAGAGAGAGAGAGAGAGAGTCATCGATCAGCTGCCTCTTGCACACCCCCCACCGGGGATATGCCCGCAACCAAGGTACTTGCCCTTGACCGGAATCGAACCCGGGACCTTTCAGTCCCTAAGCCAACGCTCTATCCATTGAGCCAAACCAGCCTCGGGGGTTTCCTGCCCTTTTGCTGGCTGTTTCAGCTGAGGGTCATTCCCAGCACATAGAGGCCACTACTGTATTCTATGACTGAGGCTTCCTTCAACTTCAAAGCCAGAAACCTTGGGTGGAATCACTTTCATACTTCACATTTGTGCTTCTCCTTCTGTCTCATCTCTAGATGAATGGGTTGTTATTGTTGTTTGCTTTTGACTGGGGCAAATTTGCACGCACACTCCCAGGAGACAGAGCAGTTTCTGGGGACAGTTGGTTGTCACAGTGTGAAGAGTAGAGTGCTACTGACATCTGTTGGGTAGAGGGAGGAGGTATGCTGCTCATCACCTTACAATACACAGGACAGCCCCATTCTCAGAGTGGTCCGGCTGAGGGCCAGTACTGCGAGGAGCAAAAACCCCAGATTAGATTTTGGAAGTACAGTTGTCTTCCCTACATCTGATACTTTAAAAATATATAAAAGCTTTACTTAACTTCATCAAGGCATGTAAAGTGATATTGAAAAAACACACACACAGAAATCAGACGGTTGTGACTATCTTTATAGACACGTGCATTTGCAGTGAGTACATGCTTTAATACGTACTCATGACAAACTGTTTTACTGCACATTGTTTTCACTCCACATACTGGTGGCTGCTCGTCCTGGTGTGTGAATAGTGGCGCCTAGATGCTCGCTGTGTGCTGTGTGCTGAGCTTTCCATGCAGTCAGTGTAAGCCTCCTGCAGCCTTGTGGTGTAGGTCATGTCATTAAGCCCATTTTACAAGTTAGAAACCACAGTGTTTTGGGAGGGGTTTTTTGTTTGTTTGTTTTTAAGACTTTTAAATTATTTTTTTTAGAGAAAGAAAAATATAAATGTGCCCTGGCCCAGGAATTGACTCATCATCCTTTCAGTGCACAGGACAATGCCCAATCAACAGAACCACACCTGCCAGGGCTCGGAATAAGAGTCATAATTAGATTAAGTGATTTGTCCACAGTCATGCAACTAGTAAATGACAAAATGAGGGTTCACATTCTCATCTCCTCCCAGACCCCAAACTCTTACATGTTGCATTATGAAGCTTCCTGTGAAAATCACTTCTTTGTCTATGAAGTAACGGAAAAATGCCATAGACCTTGCCAATTAGAGGGAGATTCTGACCCCCTAAATGAAGGGCCTGCTGTTCATCATACCCCAAGATGTTGGCCTGTCTTCTGCAATAACCAGTGGGACTAACTAGAAGTGTTGATTCCCTTGAGGAGAAAGTATTTTGAAAATTGCATTTTCTTTTTTTAGGCTGTTACAGAAGATAAGTACGAAATACTCCAATCTGTCGATGATGCTGCAATAGTGATAAAAAACACAAAAGAGCCTCCATTGTCCCTGACTATCCACCTGACATCCCCTGTTGTCAGAGAAGAAATGGAGAAAGTATTAGCTGGAGGTAGGGAGGCTGAGAAGGCCAGCAGGACTTTGTAAACTTGGTGTTCCCTCATTACTTAAACGTGCTATTCAGTTTTAGACTGCGTTGAATAAAGGTTATTGGTGTAGCTTTTGCCCACTTGTACTCTGAGATCACATCTCCTGTTTGGTAATGGGGAGTTTGATCAAACAGTTGCACTAAAAGTGAGTAGCACTTTTCAGAGGATTGCACCATTTTGGTTTGTCTTAATCCTTAAATGCTGTCACCAGTGTTACAGTTGGTTTTTCTGTTGAGCCATTCTCTTCTATGGCCTTGAAAAAGTATGTCCAGGGTCATGTTGCTTTTTTTTTTTTTTTTTTTTTTTTTTTTTGTGGAAGACAACCAGACGGCTTCTGCATAAACATCCCAGTGGAGTTGTAGTAGCAGCTTGCGGTGCAGCAGAACTGAGGGCTTCTTCGGTTGTCTTCCTTCCCCTGGCTGCTTTGATCAGCTCAGTAATTGAAATGCAAAGAGCTGATACAAAGTGAAATGCAAAGAGCCAATACAGAGTTAAACAGTTATGTGGTTTTTCAAAAAACAAAAGCTCAGACACAAATAATGCTTTTACAGCTCAGAGTCCTACCAGGGCTTTCCTCTTTGTGAATGTTGTTTATCACAAATATCACCACAAATAAAGGGAACAGGCCTTCTCCAAATCCCTGATACACACAGGGCAGAAACTGCAAAAACACCAGTTTTGCTGCAGCATGGGCTCACACTTAGCACCCTTGTTGCTGTCCTTTGATTCCTGTGGTTCTGATACCTGAATCCAACTACCAAAGCCCTTTTAGTTTATCAGTTTAGGGAAGCTGGACCTTTGACCAACAGGACTCTCTCTGTCAAGGGCTGGGGCTAGGGCAGTCCTGCCTGGTGGGTGGAGGTGGTCCCCTTTGCTGAAGATGCCTTGGGATGGCTGTTGTGGGAAGCAGTGAGGGAGTTCATTTTGACTCCCCATACCACTGTTTTTGTTTTTTGTAGGTTTTTCTTTCTTTTTTTTCTTTTTTTTTTTCTATTGGAAATTTTAATACAGCTAATTTATTGGGAGATAATGGGGAGGAAGCATGGTAACAGTCTATTAGAAGATAGGATCCACCTATCTATTCCCTCCCCTGTGGGATTATTCCTTGTAGAGTAACTTCCCACTTGTATTTTCATTTTTTGTTTTTTTTGTGTGTGGTTTTTTTTTTGAGGGGCCTCCAATTTTTGCATTTTCCTCTCTAGGCAGAGTTGACATACTCTGGCTTCTCCTTCCCTGGTCCAGGGTAGAGATAACTTGACATTCTGGGAACCTCCACTACTCTTTAGGAAACTGCCACATCCCCTTTCCACCTGACAGAAACCCCTTGGTCAAACTGTGCCTTGTCTTCTTATTCCATCCATGAATAGAAACGCTATCAGTCAACGACCCCCCGGACGTCCTGGATAGGCAGAAATGCCTTGCTGCCTTGGCGTCCCTCCGACACGCCAAGTGGTTCCAGGTTTGCATTTTGTTCTTCTATTTGTCTTTGGTAGAGAATTCCTAAGTTTTAACGTGGTTAACTTGCACTGTAACGTTTCAGTAATGTTGACCAAAGCCGTGCAGAGTTTAGCACCTGCAGGCATGCAGTTGCTAATGCAGCACGCATAGACCATTTGACCAGTCCCCAAGGAGGCTGTGACTGAGTAGGTGGGTTGCTGCTGCTTTGTGCCAAGAGTAACATTATTGTCGTCCATACAGTGGCTTCACTGCCAACCACACACTTGATGGTTGTGGATGTTTCTCCTTTACCCTGGACAAAGTAGCAACCTGAGACTTGTGTTGTTCATGTTTGCCTTATGTTCTGGGAGGTGCCTTGGTGTAAAGATCCTGTTCTTTGTTCCTCTAGGCCAGAGCCAATGGGCTGAAGTCTTGTGTTATTGTCATCCGGGTCCTGAGGGATCTGTGCAGCCGAGTGCCCACGTGGGGTCCTCTAAGAGGATGGGTAAGGCACCTTCTAGCTATGGCCACCTGGGGATTGTGTACCAGGGACCTTCTTCCACAGCCCAGGAGTATCTTCTGGTATCTGGGCCAGAGTGGTCCTTTGGGGTGTGGTTGATGTGTCCCCATCCTAGCTGCTTGTTGAGCAACTACTGTATGCCACATCCTGGGTGAAAGGTCAAAGTGAGACCAGGACCCCCATCACTGTTGACTAGGTACACAGCTCAGCCTAGGGAGGGGGCTATCACATACTGTGACATGCTCAACTCCATGGTGAAGCCTTTGTGGCTACTCTTGGCCAGCAGTCAGCAAATAGGCCTACAGGCCAATTCTGGCCAGCTGCTTGTGTTAAGTAAAACATACTTAAGGATGTTTTATAATTTTGAATATAAGTACCTACAAAATAGCTTTAACTTGGCCTTCTGGCCAATGGGGCTGAAAAGATTGAAATGTCTGGCCCTTGAAGGTAAAGTTGTTGAGCCCTGTTCTATGTGTCCCATCTTGGCTTAGCCCTGACATGAACTTGAATGGTTATGACTTTCCATGCCAACCCCTCCTCACACATACACAGTGACAGCTCCTCAGCATTGGTCAACCTCCTCCCCCCACCCTACTTGAATATAGGCTAACTATCCCTCTTGCCTTTCAGCCCCTTGAGCTTCTCTGTGAAAAGTCCATCGGCACAGCCAACAGACCCATGGGCGCTGGCGAGGCCCTGCGGAGAGTGCTGGAGTGCCTGGCGTCAGGCATCGTGATGCCAGGTTGGGGCCTTGTGCTTTGCAAGTTACAGGAAAAGGACAGGGATCAAGGCCTGAGGCCACTTCCTGGCGAGTCCCCTGACCGGGTTAGGGCAGCAGCAGCTCCATGTCCCCATAGGGCTAAAGCATGTGACTACCCTCTTGCACCATCATATCCAGCCCTGTGCCGGCTCCGCAGCTGTGACTCAGGGCGGATCCGGGGCACTGGTGACCCACTCCCATGTGAGCTCCTTGCTCTGAGACACGTGTGGATTATTTTTCTCATGGGCTGGATGCTGAGTGGGTCACCGAGCTCAGCGTGTTTTCCAGAGCTGGGTGTGGATGGGGCGCGGGGGGTAACGCATCTGGTTCCCTCAGCCAGTACAACTCTTCCGAGACACTAAACGATAATCCTCTGCATATCTTCCTTGTTTCCTGCCTTCAGATGGTTCTGGCATTTATGACCCTTGTGAAAAAGAAGCCACTGATGCTATTGGGCATCTAGACAGACAGCAACGGGAAGATATCACACAGAGTGCGCAGGTATAGTCATCGCCATTGCCACCGTGAGCCCTTACCCAGTCTGTAATCACTGGCTTCTAGTTCCATTACTGGGTATTCTCAGGGTCGCCACTGGACAGTAGGCTCAGGTTGGGACTGAAGGCGAAGGGATTGTGCCTGATACAGGACGCCCCCATCTGGGCTTCTTCTTTCCCCTGGCGCCACGCGTGGTTGTAGCCTGCTCCTCAGCCTGCTCGAGTGCTGTTTTCAGACACTGAGTTCAGTGGGGAGACGTATTTGCTATTTAGACTCTTCCAGGGGTCCTTCCTTTGCAGGCCCATCACGTGGCTCCGTGTGGCAACCAGTCCCCAGATTGGGGTCTCCTGTATTCCTCTTGAGGCGGGTGGTCACAGGCTGGCCTTCCCCCACAGCAAGGCTGGGTCCTGGCAGTCAGGCCCTCTCCTGGCTGTTGGGGGACCCCTTGCTATTGTAGGGGAGACCATTAGCAACCCCTCAGCTCCTGCCCCTTCCAGAAGGCATTAGCAAGCATACACACCTTGGCCAGGCACACAGAGCGGCTGAGTCAGGATCCTGTTCCACTTCCCCTTTTCCAGCATGCTCTGCGACTTGCTGCATTTGGCCAGCTGCATCAAGTCCTGGGTATGGACCCTCTGCCTTCTAAGATGCCCAAGAAACCAAAGAATGAAAACCCAGTGGACTACACGGGTAAGTCTGCCAAGGGTTCCAGGTTGGGCAGCAACCTTGTGAGCCCCTCACAGAGCACCAGACTAGACTCTTAGCTGCTTCTGTCCTGATCTCTCCTTTCAGTTCAAATCCCGCCCAGTACCACCTACGCCATTACGCCAATGAAACGCCCAATGGAGGAGGATGGAGAGGAAAAGTCTCCCAGCAAAAAGAAGAAGAAGATTCAGAAGAAAGGTACAGGCATTCGTTCCTCGGCCTTTTTTTAAACCTTCTATCTGTCTCCATTTAAGGTTAGCCACAATGTGTTTAAGTTGTCTTTTCAGACAAATTTAAGTTGTCTTTAAAATGATTAAGTATATCAGATGGGTACAGAATGCAAGTGGGGGGGGGGTGCCCCTACTGGTGACCCCAGCGGTGGCATGTATCTGGGAGCAGCATAGACAAGGCCTTGCAGCTGCCCAGTCCATCGTATCCCATTGCAAAAGGCCATCTGAGAAGTGATTCCCTCCCCAGTTCAGAACTTGCTGATGTTTCGGTGATGGTGGTGGTCTTTCTCTAGAGGAAAAGGCAGAGCCTCCCCAGGCTATGAATGCCCTGATGAGGCTGAACCAGCTGAAGCCCGGGCTGCAGTATAAACTGGTTTCCCAGGCGGGTCCGGTCCATGCCCCCATCTTCACCATGTCTGTGGAAGTAGATGGCAGCTCATTTGAGGCCTCAGGACCATCCAAAAAGACTGCCAAGCTGCATGTGGCTGTTAAGGTATGTTATCTGGTGGCATTATCCAACCCATGCTTTTTCTTCAGATAGCAAAAGCACTTTATTCATCTTAGGATTTTTTCAGAGCTGTCATCTCCCATTTAAGTCCTAGCGCAAACACTATGAGGCTTAGGGGGCGTATATAAACAATGAAATGGTTAGATTTTTCTAATGTTTGTAAATTCACGTGTGGCAAGAATGCCTTTGTCGGCATGGCAGGCAGAAGGTGTCTACACATGGTTGGGCATGTGGGGAGCAAAAGGAAACAACACCCTGAAAATTGCTGGGTGCCACCCTAGGAACTCTGATTCAGAGTGCCCCAGTGCTGAGCCCCAGCCCTCACAGGGCCTTGCGGATCTCCCTCCCAGGTGTTACAGGACATGGGCTTGCCTACTGGTGCTGAAGGCAGAGACTCCAGTAAGGGGGAGGACTCGGCTGAGGAAACTGAGGCCAAGCCAGCTGTCATGGCCCCTCCACCCGTGGTAGAAGCCGCTTCAACCCCCACTGCCACCTTTACTGCGGATCCCACTACTGAGGTGAGCCATGGTGGGCACTGGATAGCCCAACAGGGAGTGCAGGCAGCCTTGTGTCCTGTGAACCTGGACGGTTGCTGATCCTCATCATTTTCTCCCAAAGGAGTCACCTTCCAGTCTAGGAACCTATAGTGGGAACTGGATGTGAGCCTTTGAACTACTACCCAGAAGGCTTTGCTGATGTTGACTTAGTACTCAGGGTTGTACAGGGGTGACCCTCACTCAGTGATAGGCTATTTCCCAGAAGAAGGGGCAGGTAGATATCCTGTGGCTGGGATTGGAGTTCATCCTTTTGCTGGGAGGCTCGCAGATAGATGGCTTTCAGAGGCGAGGGCAGTGTGGGACAGCAGGGTACATGGAGTGGGGGGCTGTGATGCGGTAGTGGCTGTCCACCACGTGTTAGGCAGCTCTGGCTGAGTGTGTTGGGTTTGTTTTTGTTTTGTTTTCCCCCTTTTTCTGTTTTCCCTGAGAACATAAAACAGCAGGGGCCGATCCTGACCAAGCATGGCAAGAACCCCGTTATGGAACTTAATGAGAAGAGGCGTGGCCTCAAATATGAGCTCATCTCAGAAACTGGTAGCAGCCATGACAAGCGCTTTATCATGGAGGTGAGTGGTCCTGCACTGGCTCCTGTGGAGGCCTGGAGTCTTTGGAGAGCTCCTTTGCCCCAGTGGGAGCCTTTGGTTCACCCCTGACACGTGTCTGTTCTTCCAGGTCGAGGTAGATGGACAGAAGTTTCAAGGTGCTGGCTCAAACAAAAAGGTGGCAAAAGCACATGCTGCCCTGGCTGCGTTAGAAAAGCTATTCCCTGATGCCCCCCTCTCCCTGGAAGCCAATAAGAAGAGGGCACCTGTGCCTGTCAGAGGTGGACTGAAATTTGCTGCTAAGGTAACTGGCTGCCCTGCAATCATTTAAGCTAGGCATGAATTCTTTCTTCTGTTACCTGAAAATGAGGCAAATTTAACTTGTCTGTCCTTTCCTGTCCAGCCACATAACCCTGGTTTTGGCATGGGAGGCCCTATGCACAAAGAAGCGCCCCCGCCCCCCAACCTTCGAGGGCGGGGGAGAGGAGGGAGCATCCGTGGTCGAGGTAGAGGAAGAGGATTTGGTGGCGCCAACCATGGAAACTACATGAATGCGGGTGAGGAACCTTGTCCTGTACCCTGGGCCTGTCTTGCTCTCTGGGGTGTGTGGGGCCCCTTGGGTTGAGCTGCGATGCTGGGAGAGGCAGATGCAAAGGAGACCTGCTTCCAGCCCTGATAACTGTCGATTCCTTTCCAGGCGCTGGGTATGGCAGCTATGGGTATGGAGGCAACTCAGCAACAGCTGGCTACAGTAAGTGTGTTCTTTCTCTTGGTCTGAGTTTGGGAAGAAGCTGCAGTGTAGTTCCCATGCCTGAGTTAGGTCAGGGTGGCCCACACCCATCCTCAGTGATTAGATCAGGTGGTCCTCAAGGCCCCCACCCTCCCCGTCCTGCAAAAGTGTGACTTACTCTGTAAATGTTAACACACTGTGTGACTTGAAAGTACCTTAAAAGTAAAAAAATTTTAAATTTCTCTGCTTTGAGCCATGTGAACGAAGCACCAGTCCTGTGAATATACTTTTCCTGACAATGCACAGCTCTTGTCTTGAGAAGGAGCCTTCATTGGGGGGTTACAGGAGCAGAGAAATCTAAAACATGAATTTCAAATGTGGCGCTCTGTGCCATTTTTCAAAAGAATTCTAATTTTTTTTCTCTGCTCTGTCTCCCCCTTTTGTAGGTGACTTTTTCACAGACTGCTACGGCTATCATGATTTTGGGTCTTCCTAGAACATCTAAAAGTATTGCACACAAAATCAACTTTTTACTCCAATTTTCTCGAACTCCAAAACCTAAAGTGTCCGTGCTGTGCCCCTGTGCTTCACTGGGTTTCTCAACCGTGGCTTGTCACCGCAGCTTGTCTGAAACTCTTAGCCTGCAGAATTTAAGACAATGGCAGTTTTTATCGTGATTTGCCTTTGAACTTGGTCATATTGAAGTTCACAATAAGTGGAAAACAATTTTCAGAGAATGCATTTTTTGTGCAGAATTGCACAGAATTCTAGAGCCAGCGTTGGTCAGCATCAAGGCAAAAGCCCACCTTTGCTTTTTATGGAAAGCATTACTTTATTTAAGAGACAGATAATGATGCATTTTAATCTACCTTTGTCTTAATTTACAGCAGGTTTTGTATGAATTTTTAACCTTTTAACAAATTCCCAAATCTGGTTGATGCCTTTGATAGTGCTGAAAACAATTTCACCACATATGAATCCAGAGCAACCGACTTTTTTTTCTTTTTCTTATTTTTTTTTTTTTATAAGCATGTGAAACAATGGGAACGGGAACATTGGGGAATTGTATATTGTGCAAAGTTAACCTTTCCTGCCTCTTGTAAATGCTCTGGTGGGTGATTGGGGATGCGACATTCTGTGGCTGGTTTAGCTAGAGGTGAACTCTCAAAGGTATCAAAACTGTGCTTCCATCATTTAGTGCAAGAAATAGACAGGCTTAAGGGATCAATAATGCAAAATTTTGCAAGTCCTGATTACAGTTGCAAATGAATGGAATTCTTGAATTTTCTTAAATTGAGTTTTAAAAAAATAAATCAAGCAGAAAGAGCCTAATATATAGCTCAATTCTCCGGTGAAAATTTTACCTCAGCCTTTACTGCTGGGCGCACGGCTGCGACAGAAGCCCTGGAAGCTTCCACCCTTCTTACCTTCAGGAACAGGCTTGAGGTTGTGGCTTCTCCGTGTGGAGAGGCACACTGAGGCCCCCATTTCCTGGTGGGAGTCCCTGGAAACATCCGGTTTTATCTCTGATCAGCAGTTCTTTTTGCAGCAAAGCCTGCCTCTCTGTTGACTTGCAAGATTTTGCGTTTATTCAGGCAAAAACTGGTCAAAAACGGTTACTGCATAATTTGTTCTCAGAGGTTTGAAACATTCAGTGAAACTTTTTAAAACTTTGCATGATGTATTTTTTTTTTTTTTAGAAAGTTATTGTTTGAGAATAATGTCTTTTTATACCAGGAAATAGTTATCCTGAATGACGTTGAAAACTTCCCCTCTCCTTTATTTTTTTTTAATCAATACATGTTAAAGTAACAAGCCCTAACTATTTGGCGTCTTCATTCATTCCCGTGCTTGTGGAGGGGTGAGGAGGCAGCACTCAGTGTAGGCCGATGTGGCCGAGTTCTAAGAGGGGGCTTGAAGAGGCCCTCCTGTCCTGTCCTCCTGTGTTTTCTTCGTGCATTGTGGGACACATCCTTGTCCTTGGCTTTCTGATGGGGGTGTTGGTAGAGGGCGGAGCCTGCCCCCCTGAAGATAAGAAACCTATGGCAAAGATCAGTTCTATCCAAATTACTGTTCAAACAACCCAAGGCACACCACTGTGGAGTGCACATCTTCCGGTGGAAGGCTGGTGAGGACTCCCAAATTTACCCAGAAGACGAGGGACTCTTACGTGGAACAGGACAGGTGGTGTGGCAGCGTCCCCTACCTACACTGGGCATAGCCAGGCTGACCAAGCACCAGCCTCAACCATCTGTAGACAGAGGCACAGCTAACCAGCAAAGGCATGCCCAGGCCTACCTGCTCTAGGAACCCAGTAGCTCCACTGTCCCTGCAGGAGACTGGACACTGCCCAGCCAGGATGGACAGCAATCCATAGGACCAATCTTCTCCCTGTTGCCCACACCTTAGCTGACCCATCTCCCACCGTCCATTTGAGTGTCTTTTGGGAGCAATATCTTGACTGTACTGGGGGGGTCCTTACCTAATGACCAGAAGTGGGGGTGCTCTGTGACATTCTCTGCCCTTGAGCCTGAGAATGTGGCAGCTTGCTGCACGCTTGTCAGTCCTGCTGCTCAGTCCTGCCTGAGCCCAGCAGCTGTGCTGGGAACAGTGAGGTGCCCTCTGGGGGACCACTTGGATCTTCTGATCCCACCCTAAGTCTTCTTTCCCCAGGAGGCTGTGGAATTGCTCTTTAAGGCATGTGTTTGCATAAATCCCACCAGACTTAAGTGTCCGTTCCTGGTTCCTCTAGAACCAGGCCAAGACCAGTTGGTCTTCTAAGAATGACACCAATGTCAGGGACCTGGTAAAGAGCATTTCCTGGGGTCACCCAAGCCTGTGACTGCCAAGCCTCTTCCCAGCGCAGCAGGGGAGGGCTGGTTGCTTCTCTGGGCTTTGCTTTTCCTGTCATCGTTTGGGACATCTGGGTAGCAGTCAGCTAGTTGTGAATGTCATCCTGCACTCGGAGCCCATCTCATTGTAACGTTGACATCCGCTGCAAAAGCTGCTCTCAGCGTGCTGCCGTGCCGCTGCTTGGCAAAGATCCATTGTCATCAGCTAATGGGTGAGTGGAGCTGAAGGCTGGGCCAGCCCAGCCCAGGCTGCTTTAGGGACTGGAGCTGCTGCTCCTTGCTCTCCTGCCTCTTACTCTGCCCCCACCTGAGCAGCAGGCTTCTGGGTCAGCCTTCAGGACCCACAGCTTCGACCTTCCCTCCCTATACCTCTGTTCCCACTCTGTTTACCTGAGCCTCCACCTGACTGGATGCCTTCCTGTTTAGGTCAGTTCTACAGCAATGGAGGGCATTCTGGGAATGCTGGCAGTGGCGGCGGCGGGGGCGGTGGTGGCTCCTCCGGCTACGGCTCCTACTACCAAGGTGACAACTACAGCTCCCCAGTGCCCCCGAAACATGCTGGGAAGAAACAGCCACATGGGGGCCAGCAGAAGCCCTCCTACGGCTCAGGCTACCAGCCCCACCCAGGCCAGCAGCAGTCCTACAACCAGAGCCAGTACAGCAACTATGGCCCCCCGCAGGGCAAGCAGAAAAGCTATAGTCACGGCCAAGGCAACTACTACTCCAACTCCTACAGCTCCCCCGGGGGCGGGGGCGGCTCCGACTACAGCTACGAGAGCAAATTCAGTGAGTTGGCATCCAGTCCCCCAGAAACTCAGTACTGCCCCCCTCTGCCTGGGACTGGAAGAAGTCGGAGGCACTGGCCTCAGGGTGGGCATTGGGACAAACTTGGAGCTAGAGGCCCCCAGGCTAAAGCTTCTGAGCTGTGGATTGAGACTGGGACACAGGGTGGAGTCGGAGTCGGAGTCTGGGCTAGCCACTTGGAGGTGACCTGTGGAGAAAGTCACCTCCAGCCCTATAAGAGGGTGACTTATTCTGTGCTCCATCCCCCCAACCTCACGCACAGAACTGTGGGCCGCCCTGTGTCGGCGGCTCCGCGGGGAAGGGTAGGAATGCTGTGGTTCGTGATGGGACACCCAGCAGCAGGGCCAGGACCTGGGCTAACTCTGCAATTCCTGAGCTGCTGGGAAGCTTAGGTTGGAGGAGCAGGTGGGAAAGTAGGATGGAACTTGGCTTCAGAATGTGGGGATCAGGACAGTCCAGGGCATGGATTCCAAGCAGCCCCAAGCAGTTTGTGGTGAGACTGGCTTTTTATGTGCCAAATTTAAGCAGTCAGGACGGAAATTTGCAAGGGTCCAGGGTCTTGGCCAAAAGTCTGCCACATCCAGGGCTGCAGCACAAGGCCCTTTAACCACACTCTTCTCTTCCCCCAGACTACAGTGGTAGCGGAGGCCGCAGCGGCGGAAACAGCTACGCTTCAGGCGGGTCGTCCTACAACCCGGGGTCACATGGGGGCTACGGAGGAGGTTCTGGGGGCGGCTCCTCGTACCAAGGCAAACAAGGTGGGCCTGGAGCAGCAGATGGTACAGCATGGAAGGGGGGTTGGGGGAGCTGGGGGTCCGCAGAGCCACACAGTCAGAGGCTGTGAGGATGGGTGTGGCCTAGTTTGGGCAGATAGTCTGGACAGGGCCACGGTTACAGCTGTCTCTTGGCTTCTGTGTGGATAGGAACAGAAAGCGGAGACAGGGTTTATGGGGTCCTATGCAAACACCGACGTAGGCATGCATTTGGTTTCTTTTTTTTCTTTTTTAATATATTTTACTGATTTTTTACAGAGAGAAAGGGAGAGGGATAGAGAGTTAGAAACATCAATGAGAGAATCATCGATCAGCTGCCTCTTGCACACACACACACACACACACCCCCCCCAATGGGGATGTCCCCGCAACCAAGGTACATGCCCTTGACCGGAATCGAACCCGGGACCTTTCAGTCCGGAGGCTGATGCTCTAGCCACTGAGCCAAACTGGTTTTGGCTGCATTTGGTTTCTTGGCTTTTAGAACCAGGGGTCCAGAAATTGTCATACCCTAAATTTTGGCACCTACATGAAGAAATGCTGGCAATACTGAGAGCCAAGTAAGAGCCTGGTGCTTAGCCCCAGTTAGAGCTTCCACTGCTGGCACCTCTGTGACTGGGCTGATCCCCACCCTTTTTCCCTCAGGAGGCTACTCGTCACAATCGAACTACAACTCCCCGGCGTCCAGCCAGAACTACAGCGGCCCTCCCAGCTCCTACCAGTCATCCCAGGGAGGCTACGGCAGGAACGCAGACCACAGCATGAGCTACCAGTACAGATAAAGCCCGAGGGTGAAGACTTGTACCTTCTGCACTTACCCCTCCTCGTTGTAAGATTCCGTTTTATGCATCACAGTTAACATGTCTGCGGCCCCGCTGGGCCCTCTTGCCCTACCCTGTCCACGTTGCTGTGTTGTGAGGTGCAGCCGGTCACTCTGTGACCCGTTCTGTGACCCATATTTAGCCGTGTTTGGGACTCCACGTCTTCAGTGGTTTGTTAGTTGCCATTACAACTTTGTCCGAGTAGAGTTTTCTGAGTTCTTACAGTTCAGTATCCCTCTGTCTATTTACAATTGGTGTTAGTGTTAACTCAGTTTGTCTTGAAATAGTTACAGAAGGGATACCTCATCTGTTAATGCTTTTGTGAAGTGAGTTAAACGAGCTTTCCGTATTTTAATGCTTTAGTGTTTCAGTTTTATAAGTGAAGATTTTATTTTAAAAAAACAGTGGGAAAGAGTGGGGTTTTTGTATGTCTGGATCATTCAGGCAGTACATTTGAATTCAGCTGAATGTAGACAAATAAAAAAGAAAAAGAAAAAAACTGCCGTCGTAGGCCTGGATGTCTGACCCTCCAGGAGTGCAATGGACAGGTTCCTCCACTCTGTTTCCAGCACTGGCAAGGGGCACATGTGGCAGGGTGGTCCCTGCCCACTAGGGAGGGTATAGTGGCTACCTCCAGGCTTAGAGACATCTTGACTGAATTGGTCAGGGCCAGCAACCAGTTACCTGGAATCTGTAGCCCCTATGTCCCAGTGAGCTCCGCAGGCCCTTGTGTCTGCATAGCAGCCTAGTGGCCCATGCTCTCACAATTCAGCATGCTTTGTTTTATGCTCCATTAGTTCTAGAGGTAGTATAAGTGCAATTTGAAGTCACCATGAATTAAGTTTGGTACATAGAACCTAATTTGAAAAAGCCTGGTTGAAATCTGCCTGAGGCATCCCCAGGTGGAATCATCGATGTTGGGGTGGTGCTCTGCGGCACCTCTACTGAGAATTTCACAGTGCACAGGTGGGCTTCTCTGCAGTGGGTTTCTCTGGAGCACTGTTTCTCAATCCCAGGCAATTGTGTAGTGCTTGGGAGACATTGTCGCACAGTGGATAGAAGCCAATGCTGCAAAACATCCTACACTTACACGTCAGCGCTATGGGGGTGGACAGCCCTTCTCAACTTGGGGCGGCCTGTCTGAAGAGCCCTGTGGGCAGACAGCCTGGACTGCCCTCTGCAGGGACTCCTGTCGACTTGCTGCCTCTTCACCTTCTCAGACCCAGGCACAGTTCACGGCCTAAGCGCTTTGTCCTCCCCTGCTTGTTCATCGTGGGTACTGGGAGAAGTACAAACCATTCTTGATACAGGATCACTCAGCCGAGGCAGAAACTTCAGTGTGCCTTCAAAGGATGAAGACTTGTTTTCTTGGAGAGGTGAAAAAAAGATATTCTGCACTAAAAGAGAAAACATTGGAAGACGTTTGCTCTCTGCTGCCACAGAGGAGGTCCTAGATACCAAGTGGTCCAGGTCAGGGAGAGGGGCCCCGTGAATCCAGTCAGGTGGCCAACAGTGTAAGCATTGTGATCAGCCTGAAGTGCCTTGGGATCCTTCAAGTATGTATACGAGTGAGGGTGGATATTCACCCCAACTCCTCTCCTGGACATGTGCAGGGGCTGGGAAAAAAGGCCCATGTGACATCTTTGGGATCTTGTGTTTGTGATGACAGGATACGGGCTTTGGACAGAGCCTGCATCACTCATAAATCACAGGGAGGAACGCCCTGGCCCCACCTGCCAAATGCCTTCAAACTCTGGACCTTTCTTTTTCTTTTTAAAATATATTTTATTGATTCTTTACAGAGAGGAAGGGAGAGGAATAGAGAGTTATAAACATCGATGAGAGAGAAACATCGACCAGTTGCCTCCTGCACACTCCTTACTGGGGATGTGCCCACCACCACAGTACAGCTCCTGGCTGCAGTCAAACCTAGGATCCTTGAGTCCTCAGGCCAATGCTCTATCTACTGAGCCAGAGTGGTTAGGGCTGGATCTTTCCTGTTGTTACAGATTTCCTCACAACAGTGTCCCAAGAAGGGACCACTACCATATTCTAATGTATGAATATGAGTGTCTCAAATCTTCCTCTTACAAAGACACAAATCAATGGGATTAGTGCCCACTCTAATCCACGATGAGTTCATTTCAAGATCCTTATTTCTATCTACAGAGACCCTGTAAGTGCAGTCACATTCACAGGCATCAGCGGTTAGGACGTGGACATATCTTTTGGGAGACATTGTTCAGCCCACTATAGGGTTAGGTGAAGGCTTCACCCACTGGACTGCTGGCACAGCCCTGGGAGTTTCAGCCATAGCCAGGATTACCATGGTCAGGTCTGGACAACACTGAGGCAGCAGCATCTTTGCAGCGCAGTGGGTATCTGTCCTGAGGGGACAGCTCATGAGCCCAGATCCCTTGGCACTTTAATCCTACTTGGGGACCTCATTGGTACTGATGGCCTGGTGATGCATGAGACCAACTGCAATATCCCAGCCCTCAGGACCTGCTGCTCCAGGAGGCTGGGCTCAGGAAGATGTAACCCACCTTCAGCGTGAAGGCCTTGTTGCTGGTGCATCACCCATTTAAAGTCTGTTGCCCAGGAAACTAGCCAAGAGAAGGGCCTCAATGAGCTTCAATTCGGCCAGGGCCATAGTGGGCAACAGCTGGCCTATGGTGGAGATGCTTAGACCATACACTGGTTGAGTGTCATGCATCTTTCAGTCACCAGCAAAGGTCACCAGACATGGGCAGGAAGGACCAGCGGCCCACGTGCTTACTCAGCGAATTGATCAGAGAGGGTGCTTGGTGAATAGGCCGTGGGCTGGGGGTTGTCAGTGCTCTGGGACTGGACACAACACTCCAGAGGGCTCAGGAAAGGAGACCAAACCACTGATGGGAAAGCTGGACATGGGCATGGTGGGTCAACGTGTCTTCTGAGGGAGGGGCAGGGCCTTTCCAGAAGTTTGGACTAATTTGTTGGGGATTGGTGACAGGACTAAGGGCGACCTCTAAGCAATACTAGGTTACAGATCCAGGATTTCCACCTCTAGATTGCCAGTCACTGGGCCTCATGTCCCTCTGGACTAGGTTTCAGTCTGACCTGAAAGTTACCACCTAGCTGCCCTGCCCCGAGGCCTGGACCTGCACAGCTGGGCAGTCGGCTGAGATTCAGTCTCCGGATGTGAGCCCCATGCTGACTGTGCTCTTTGCTGCAAGCCTTTTTGGCCCAGATGCTCATTCTAACCCATTTTAGAATAAATGGAAACTTCTGTGTTCATTGTTTGATTCACTCCACGTTATTGGTTGTTGGTTTCTGTATCACTCCTGCACTGGTTGCTAGAACTTTGGCAGCAGAGTTGGTCCCTGCCCTCGTGGTGCTTCTAGGCACCAAGAGGACCCTGTTCCATATGTGCAGGACGGGTCAGGGAAGGCGCTTGTGTTTCAAGTGAGACAGGATGCTTGAACTGAGACCAGAGGGGTGTTGGGGAGGGAAAGAGAAAGGTATGCCATGCAGAGGCAACAAAATTTCAGTTGGGGGTTGGGAATAGCATTAAAGTATCTGAACTCAAGAGAGAGAAGCTTTTTGGTTGCAAAAATAAATGTTCCTGGGCCAATGAGGGGCACCCAGTGCAATGCCTTGACCACCAGCCAGAGGAATTCTGACCTTTATCCTGACAATAATTGGGAGCTATGGAAGGATTCTGATCTGGGAAGACCCCAGATTAAGTCAAGCTTCAAAACAGCCCTTTTGACTTGGGTAGATAATAGATATGTGGGAGAGGTAAGAATGAGGGCAACAGACCAGGAATGAGGCTTGAGTTCTGGAAATTCCAGGCTGTGAGGTTCAGGGGGACTTAGTTGGCAGAATCCACTGGACTTGGGAAAGAAAGCACACAGGCCCAAGATAGGTTAAAACAATGTCCCAGACCAGCAGACTGACCTGGCAAGAGGCATTATCTTGCCTCAGGAAAGAAAGAAGGGAAGAGCCCAGGCTCACAGTTCTTCCCCTCACTGTGTGTGTGTGGTGGTGGTGGTGGGGAGACAAATAGGAATGGCTAGGGAGTGCCCATGAGGTCAATACCAAAGGTTCCAAGTCCTGTCCATGGTCTTCCCATTGTCTCCCAAGAAACTGACATCTTAATTCAACCTCTTGGCAGCTGGGCTTGGGGAAGGGGAGGGGCAAAAATAAGTTGTGCCCCACCCCCACACCCAGATGGATAAACCTGGGACCCCTGTTTCAATGTTAGAGGTATCTGAAAAGCCCACTTCAGAGTTCAGGGATTCCCCATTCTGTACCCAGAAATCTTAACTCCTGCACTTATGAGTCCTGGGACATCCAAGTACCTGCTTCTTAAGGCCAACCACCTAGTACCCAATTTGAGAGACTCTGATAAGAAATTGAGGGATCTGCTGAAACTGGTTTGGCTCAGTGGATAGAGCGTCGGCTTGGGGACTGAAGGGCCCCCGGTTCGATTCTGGTCAAGGGCATGTACCTTGGTTGTGGGCATATCCCCAGTAGGGGCTGTGCAAGAGGCAGCTGATCAATGACTCTCATCAATGTTTCTATCTCTCCCTCTCTGTACAAAATCAATAAAATATATTTAAAAAACAAAAAAGAAATTGAGGGATCTGAGTGCCCATGAATCTGGTTATGCTTCTGTGATGATGTGCAGGCCTCCACTTGGGAACAGAAACCGGCCATAGCCCCACTTCTGCAAACAGCACTTTCAAAACCACCCCTAGACGCGCCCTGGTACACGCCACCCGCCCCTTTCAGGCCCTATCAACAGCCCCAGCCCAATGGAAGCCTTTCACTGGCCCTGCCCAGGGACGCCCCCTCGCCTTGCGTCATCACAAACCATTCTAATAGGATCTTTCATAGGCCCCGCCCCTGCCACGTTCCCATAGGGTGCTCACAGGCACCGCTTCTGTTTTTTTGTTTTTGTTTTTTTCTTTAACTGTTTTCCTGAAATGTTGCAAATCAGTTAAGGAACAGAACAGCGACCAAGGAAAAACACTCTGGACTCCTTTGACCGCAGCAGCTGCAGCTCCAAAGAGGCCATGAGCGCAGCTTCTAATAGGGCGCCTTCACACTCCACCCTCATGTAGGCCACTTCCCTGGCCTCCAGGCAATGCTCAGGCTCTGTCCAGCGTGCTGAAGCCTTCCCAGCAATTCCTCAAGGGGAAACCTCATGGCGCCCCTAGCCCTCCCTAACTGAATGGCACAGAAACCTCAATGCCACTGAGCCTCGGTTACACCCCACTTCCACACCCCACTTTACCTCTTGGGGATAGGAAGAGATCGCCTCGTTCCGTATCTCACCCATCTAGCTCAGATGAAAGCCAAAGTTCTCAACACAATGAGAGGACTTGGGGGACCTCTCTTGTGACCTCCAGCTCCTCATCTTCTGCTCCTTCCCTCATTCCCTTCAACCACACGGACCTACCCGATGCACCACAAACAATCCAGGCACATTCCCACCTCAGGAACTTTGCTCTCATTTCCACTGCATGAAATGCTTTCAGTTCCCATCATGGATCCTCACTCATGTCCTTCAGACCTTATCTCAAATGTCACCATTCCAGTGAGTCTGATCCTGACCATCCTATTTTTTATCTTAAGAAATTTTTAAAATTATTTTTATTGCCATATCTTGTTTGCTTACTGGTTAGAGTATCCTGGGTTCGATTCTAGTTAAGGTTAATATATAAAAATATGATCCCACTTCTAGGAATATATCCCAAGAAACTAGAAACAGGAATCAGAAAGGATAAATGCACCCCTATGTTCATAGCAACATAATTCACCATTACTAAGATTTGGAAATAGCCTAAGTGGCCATCAGCAGAGGAGTGGATTAAAAAACTGGTACGAAAAAAGAAGAAAAGAAAAAAACCTGTGGTACATCTACACAATGGAATACTGTGCTGCACTAAAAAAGAAATTCTTACCATTTGCAACAACATGGATGGAGAAAGATAAATATCATATGATCTCATTCATTTATGAAAAATAAGGAACAACATAAACTGATGAATAGGTCCAGAGATAGAGAGACATCAATCAGAATGTCAAACCTAAAGGAAGGTAGGGGAAGGTGGGGGTTAAGGGGAGAGATCAACCAAAGGACTTATATGCATGCATATAAGCCTAACCAATGGACACAGACAACAGGGGGGTAATAGGGGAATAAAGACACAGGTAATACCTTAATAAAGAAATTTAAAAAAATAAAAATTATTTTTTATTGATTTCAGAGAGGGAGGGAGAGAGATGGGAACATCAATGATGAGAGAGAAGCATTGATTAGCTGCCTCCTGCACACCCTCTACTGGGGATTGAGTCCCAAACTCAGGCATTGCCCTGACCGGGAATTGCTTCATAGGTCGATGTTTAACCACTGAGCCATGCTGGCCAGGCCAACCCTATTTAAATTCACCTTCCAACTCCTTTTTCCTCCTCTCTATTCTTCAGCATTCTTCACCACCTAAGACATGCTAAGACATGATATGCATTAATAATTTTTTTGTTTGTCTCTTCTGGGCATGGAATATATATATACACACATACTAGGGGCCCAGTGCATGAATCAGAAACTGTGGGCTGCAAGACTGTGGTAAGCACAGAGGTGGGTCTCAGCCCATCCTCTGTGCCCCTGCCTGGCTCCTCCTGCCACAGCCCCCAGTCCCCTGTCTGCCAGTAACCCTGCTCCTGCTGAAGGCCTCACTTGCACTCCTGATGGCACAGAGTGATTGGGGCCGGTGCCATCAGTGGCTGCAAGTGGCAGCTGCTGCCCTGATTGCCCCTCAGGAGCAGGGGGAGTTGGAGAAGTCCTCCAGGGCAATCAGGCCAGCAGCTGCCCCTTGCACCCACTGATGGCACCAAGTGATCAGGACCAGCAGTGGTGTGAGCAGGGGCTCCACCAGCTGCAGGTGCAAATGCTGGGTGGGACTGGCACAGGAGCAAAGAATTTTTAGTAACTACCAAAGGCTCGCCCTGATGACAGCAATCAGCACCCTGCCGTGGTCTGGAGCCCCCACTCACCTGCTTCACCATCCTGCCATGGCCTACACCCACCATGTTCTGCACACGCCCCCTAGTGGTCAGCACATATCACAGCAGCCAGTTAAGTTGTTTCCATTGTTCCACCTTTTGGTCTATTTGCATATTAGCCTTTTATTATATAGGATAATTTTTATTTTTGAACCATGACTTCCTGGTTCATAGGTAGATGCTCAACCATTGAGCAATACCAGCTGGGTCAGAGTGTAGAGGGCCAAATGGAAAGACACCTGGACATTCTTTAGGTTGTTGTTGACTGGGCCTGGGATATTGGCAGAATCATATCAGTTGCACTCCCGCCCTGGGAGTGTGGAGATGGTCTTAGTTCCTGACTAATGTGTTTGTTCAGGAGGAAGGAATGGGTGGAACCTGGGCTCTCCCAGGCTCCTTGTTTACCTGAAACCCCTTGTTGGGTTGGAGTATAAATAGATGTGCTGCGTGGCTCAGGAGGTGGTCAGTCTGTCTCTCCAGCCGAGGAGGTCAGCCCTCCCAGCTCCCAGCTTGAAATCTATTTCTGTGTCTTCTCTATTTCTAATATTTCTCAATCCCTGGGCACCTCCACTTAGAACCGGTTCGTTCATCTCTCTTTCCATGTGGGACATGGAAAAGGGAGATCCCTACAGCTTCAGGCCCCCGCATCAGAGCACGAATTTTTGTCTGTTCACTGCTCTGCTGCCAGCAGTGAGGACAGTGTCTGACACAGAGTGAGTGCTCCATAATATTAATTGCATATATATTCATGCATATATTTAGGCATTTACTGTGTGCCAAGCTGTACTTACTTCATAATGACCCCTCTGCCCCTCCTTTCTTCCTTAAACTTCATCCAAGGATATTTTAAAAATTAATTTCTTTATTGATTAAGGTATTACATATTTGTCCTCAACCCCTCATTCCAATCCCCCACCCCACCCCTCTCATGCCCCCACCCCCATATTGTCCTTGACCACTGGTTAGGCTCATATCAAGAATATTTTCCATTGGTTTTATTTTTTTATTTTTTTTAAAATATATTTTATTGATTTTTGTACAGAGAGGGAGGGAGAGAGATAGAGAGTTAGAAACATCAACGAGAGAGAGTCATCAATCAGCTGCCTCTTGCACGCCCCCTACTGGGGATGTGCCCGCAACCAATGTACATGCCCTTGACCGAAATCTATAATAACCTGGGACCCCTCAGACTGCAGACCGACACTCTATCCACTGAGCCAAACCTGCTTTGGCTCATCATCGTATTATTATTTGTATTAACTAAAAATAACTTTTGAAAATTAGGAGAATGAGACCAAAAAAGCATTAGGAAGACAGGCTTTCAAGAAGATAGGAGTGGCCCTGGCCAGCGTGCTCAGTTGGTTGGGCTTTGTCCCATGCACAAAAGATTGTCCGTTTGATGGGTTTCGGGCTCCATCCCTGGTAGGGGGTGTTCAGGAGGCAGCTATCTCATGTCAATGTTTCTCTCATTCCCTCTCCCTCTCTCTCTCTAAAAATCAAGTTTAAAATATATTTTTTAAAAAGGTGGGAATGAAGAATAGATGCTAAACTTCACCGGGAACCCAAACCTCACTGGGAATAAGAGAAATGCTCATTAAGAATTTCATGGAGGGGGGTGGAGCATGCGTGGGGAGGGGTTTGGGATGGGAATGGGGGGGGGGGGGGGAGGACAAATATGTGATACCTTAATCAATAAAGAAATTAAAAAAAAAATTACAGGAAGCCCTGGCTGGCTTGGCTCAGTAGATAGAGCATCAGCCTGCAGACTGAAGGGTTCCGGGTTTGATTCCAGCCAAGGGTACATGCCCAGGTTGCGGGCTTGATCCCCAGTGGGGAGCATGCAGGGGGCAGCCAAGCAATGATTCTCTCTCATCATTTATATTTCTATATCTCTCTCTTCCTTCATCTCTGAAATTAATAAAAAAAAATATTTAAAAAAAGAACAGAGACAATGTACTGACAGGATGGTCTCCAAATTATAGACCAACAGCAAGATGCAACCTGCCAGTGTAATTAGCAAGACTTGTGTGTGAAAAAGAGGTATTTAGCTTCTTATTTGCTTCAATTTGCATGAAGAAATCCTGGAAAGACAGGAATGTAATACAACATGTTACTAAGAAAGGCTGAGATGGAGAGTGGGTGGGTGTGGGATGAAGTGGGAGGGAGTTTGTTTGCCTTTTATACTTTCTGAATTTTTTTTTCCTTCCTTGATTCTTTTTTTTTAAAGATATATTTTATTGATTTTTTACAGAGAGGAAGAGAGACAGATAGAGAGCTAAAAACATCGATGAGAGAGGAACATCTACCAGCTGCCCCCTGCACACCCCCTACTGGGGATGTGCCCGCAACCAAGGTACATGCCCTTGACCGGAATCGAACCTGGGACCTTTCAGTCCGCAGGCTGGCACTCTATCCACAGAGCCAAACCGGTTTCGGCAATACTTTCTGGATTTTTTTTAAAATGATATTATTTTTATTTTATTTATTTTATTTTATTATTATTTTAATGTATTTTATTGATTTTGTACAGAGAGGAAGGGAGAGAGATAGAGAGTTAGAAACATCGATGAGAGAGAGTCATCGATCAGCCGCCTCTTGCACACCCCCTACTGAGGATATGCCCGCAACCAAGGTACATGCCCTTGACCGGAATCGAACCTGGGACCTTTCAGTCCGCAGGCTGGCACTCTATCCATTGAGCCAAACCGGTTTCGGCAATACTTTCTGAAGTTTTAATACAGAAACCTGGGACTCTTCCAGGTTAGGGCTAAAAATAATTTATATGCTCAGCAGCTTGGCCAGGTTGAATTCTGCTGCCAAATCACCTAAGCTGCGTAATGAAAAATGTTGAAAAATGGCACCAACATCTGAAAAGATGTTCGAGCCCTGGCTGGTTTGTCTCAGTAGTTAGTGTCAGTCTACAGACTCAAAGGTCCCAGGTTCGATTCTGGTCAAGGGCATGTACCTTGGTTGCGGGCACATCCCCAGTAGGAGGTGTGCAGGAGGCAGCT